GCACTGCCTCCCAGCACAAGAGCAGGGTTCGAACTAGACAATGTCAATGGGCCGGAGATGGGAGGAAGCTGCCTGAGGGATCGGAGACCCCACTCGCCTGTGAGCAACCCTGACTCAGGGCTCAGCCCGCCCCTTGGCTGCTCTAAGGGCCCCTTCCCCGCTGCCTTCCCTGGGAGGAGGGAGCCTCCCACTGGGAAGGGTCAGAGCAACGAGTCCCTCGGGTACCCGCAGAGCCAGGCCGGATGCAGCTGTTCGTTCTCCCTGCGTCGGGAAACAACCACTGGGCATCTTCTCCCTGCGCTCCCCCGGGAGCTGGGCTCAGCAGCGCCTGTCTCCCCTCCCAGCTGGGCGCGGGGCCTGTCTGGCGTGGGAGAGCCCTTTCCGTGAGCGCCGCCCCCAGGAAAGCCCGCTCCGGTCCCTGCAGGGGGAGGTTTTTCTGCTAGCTCAGATTCGGTTCCAATCTCTGTGTGTGTGTATGTCCCTGGCGCAGTAATACACGGCGCTGTCCTCCGTTCTCAGGCTGTTCATTTTCAGGTAGAAGTTGGCGCTGTCCTTGGAGGCTGTGATTCAGGGGAGGGGGTGACCCGGCTCTGGAAGGAGGAGCTGTTCTCTGTGTGCCAGGTAGAACCACCCTAATCCCCCCCCCTCAGCCACTGGAGACCTGTCCCGGGAGCTGCTGCCCCTCAAGGCAGAGGGCTGAGAACGACAGTGAAAGGGGTTTGCTGGTCCCAGCCTCTCTCAGAACTCGCTTTAATTTCCAAGCATGGAGCTTGGGCGCCCCCAGCGCCAAACGGCTTCTCTGATCACTGCAGGGGGAGGTTTGTGACTCACACCCGCTTCTTCTCACTGTGTGTCTCTCCGGCTTCAGGCCGGTCATTTGCAGGTGCAGCAGGCTGTTGGAGTTGACCCTGGAGATGGTGAATCGGCCTTTCACGGCATCAAGGTAGCATATAGTTGTGAAGTAGTGCGGGTACCTTGCTGGTTGCTAGGCTTGGGCTGTGGGTGACCCCCACTGGCTGCTGCCTGTACCACGGCCCAGCCAAGTAGCTGATGGGACAGGGAGGGAACCCGTTCTACCAGGTACCCCCCCGGGC